CTGATATTCTGTTAAGGCTGCAGCCCTGTGCATATCTGCCTGGAAGCAAATGTAATCAGGGCTGGCTCTATCACTAGGTCTGCTAGTATTTTGCCTAGGACGGAGATACTAGCAGGGCGCCAAGCCAACCTGGGCTCGGGGTCACCGCTGCCGCCATCCCGAAGAGGGTGGGGATGGCCGCACTGGAGACCTGCACCCAGGCGGCGATGCAGGGACCCGCCGGGGGGGCTTCACTGGCCTCCATTCTGAGCCCAAACGGAGATGGAGCAGGGGGTGGCACCCACCAGCGGGAGGCCAAGGAGACCCCCCCCGCCCAATTGCTGCCAGCTGGCGGGATTCTCCCTTCCTTCCCGCCCCGACGAAGAGGAGTGCGGGCAGAGACCTCGCTTGTGCTGCTGCCGTTGCCGGCCTGCCCACCATTCCGCTGGCTGCTGCACTCCCCGCCCGCGGCCCTCTCCTCCTCGGGCGGCCGCACTTCCCTCCCTGCTCGGGTGCCGGTGCGGGCAGAACTCCGCCCGTGCAAGTGGGCTCCCGGCTCTGCCCTCGACTGAGCAGGGGGAGGGAGCGGCCCATGAGGGTCGGGGGAGGGTTTTTGGAGGCCCAGATCAACTCCCCTGCTCCCAGAGGGCGGGTCCCTGTGGCGGGAGGGAGGATCCCCCCTGCCTGGCCCACCCAGCACCATTGGCGGCGCCCGCTGCCAATGCCCACCGCCGCCAGGCCGCTTCCTGGCCAGGAACCGCGGGAAGGGCTTGGGCCAAGCGGCAGCTCTGGCTCAGAAAGGCCCCCTGGGCAGGCGGGCAGGGAGGAGGTGGCGGCGGGGAACAGAGCCCTCTCTCGGCCGGCCCTGCTGCTGGGATCCAGCTGGGAGGTCTCCAGGCCCCACTGGGAGGTTGGCATCTGAGGGGGGCACCACGAGGCAGCCTGGCCTAGAGCGCAGAAACCCCTCGGGCCAGACCTGAATGTAATGGAAATCAACTGGATTTATCCCTGATCAGATGTGTCTAGGATAAGTCTGATGAGAACTAAGGGCCAAACTACACATTACGTTTTACATGAGTTCCCAACAAGGAGTGGCAGCCACAATGCAGCTGCAAGTGCCCTGTGGCAGTTTTGTGTAAAAGAGCTGCAGGATCCAATTTGGATCAGGAGGGAGCACAGTGGGAGAGTTCTCTGCCTGCCACCTGCACCATTTTCCAGAGCTGAAATCCTCCACAGGATATTATTTGCCCCACTGGGATGCTGCACATGCAATGAATACTTGCTCATGCAGCCCCCCCCCCCATGAGGCAAGCAACTCCCCAGGCTTTTCAGCTTAGGAAAATGGTACATGTGGGGGAAGGCATAGAGTAGGGTTCCGAAGTCCGTTTTTCTTCACTGCGGGGGGCTCCCGGACGGCGTCCCGAGCGTGCGCGCGCGTGCAAAGCGCACACACACTGCATGCACGTCATCCGGATGTGACGTGATGACGCTGGGCACGCTGGGGGTGGGGCCACAGCCATCTGAGGGGGAAACTATGTTTTCCCCTCAGATGGCTGTGGCCCCGCCCCCAGCGTGCCCGGCGTCATCACGTCACATCCGGATGACGTGCATGCCGGGGTGGGGTTCCCCCCGGGGCCGGATTCCGCCGCGGTGGACATCGGGCCTCCAAAGCGGGGTATTATCCGCCCCCCGGGGGGACTTGGCAGCCCTAGCATAGAGTTGCCAGACAGGGGTCCCCCATTGCCAGGCTCTGCCCCCCAGCCACTGATCAGCTGGCCAGTGGGGGGACTTACCAGGAAAAAGAGAAAGGCCCAGGCCTTGTTGCCAGTGTTGCACAGAAAGTGATATTGTCACACCAGTGACATCTGGGTGACGCTCTGGTATCTTGCAAAAACTCTGTGGTAAAACTGGCTTCTACCATAGAATTTCTTCCCAAATACCAGAGTGTCACCTGGACATCGCTGGCAGGATGACATCACTTCCTGTGCTATGCCGGCAAAGAGGCCTGGGCCTTTCTCTTTCTCCTGGTAAGTTTCCCCCATCCCCCGCTGGTTACCAGGAGGGACCTGGCAATCCTAGGAAGGCAGGAGCCCTTTCTCACGCCACAGTCCTGACCTAAATTGGGTTTCTGTGGCACTTTTACATGGAGTTGCCACCAGAGACTTGCAGCTGTAGTATGGCTGCCAGTCCCCACTGGGAACCTATGAAAAACGTAATGTGTAGTTTGGCCTCAGGTACCAAGTCTTGGAAAGTATGTGCCCTATTCCCTTATGAATGCTGAGTATAAAACCGCTGCCAAGCAGGGCTGATAACAGAGTGAATGAGAAACTCTTGTCTGTTCCCCTCCTCTTCAAGAGGAGGCTGAGCAATTTGTCTCAGTAAAAAATTCTGTCAGTTGATCGGACTGCTCCTTATTGAGCCAGATATTTAGACAGTATGAAAGACTAAAATCAAGCAATTTATTGTTGATTTACACTTGCTGGGTCTTTGGAAGAAAAAGGCTTATTCAATTATGAGGTATCACCAGAATGAAATTGCTGCTGTTACTTATTTATGGTCTCTAAAGAAAACAAGACTGCAAGAAGAACAAATCAGTCAATCCTCAAAGAAATCAACCCTGACTGTTCCCTGGAAGGCCAGATAATGAAACTGAAGCTCAAATACTTTGGCCACCAAATGAGAAGGGAGCACTCACTGGAGAAGACCCTGATGCTTGGAAAGATTGAAGGTCAAAGAAGACGGGGACGGCAAAGGATGAGATGGTTAGACAGTGTCATCGATGCAACGAACATGAAGTTGAGCCAACTTCAGAGGACGGCAGAAGACCGGAAGGCCTGGAGAGAGCTCGTCCATGGGGTCGCGAAGAGTCGGACTCGACTGTGCGACTGAACAACAACAAAAGAAAACAACAAAGCCAGGGCCCATTGTGCAAAGATGCATCAAGGCAGCCATAAATGATGCTCCCCGTTGCTTTTTTATTTAGGAAAAAAATCCATTTCCCTCTCTCAGATCTCTTTATTTCACGATATAGCAAATCTGTTGGCACAGATACTATCACAGCCTGCTTTTCCATGTCACAGGAGATGATAACCACAGATCAGGACGGAATCTAAGATGAAAGTGATCAAAAAATTTCTGTCCGTCAAGGTCTATGTGTCCTAATTGGAAATATGGTTATTTCCAATTACCATTATGCCATCTACTAGGGTTGCCAACCTCCAGGTGGTGGCTGGAGATCTCCTGAGATTACAACAGAACTCCAGGTGTTGGAGATCAGTTCATCACCCCTCAAATCCCCAGGAATTTCCAGACCCAGAGCCGGCCACCCTACCATCTACCCACCAGCTATACACAGATCAACTGCTACAAGACCCACCACCACAGTGTACTAAGGATAAACTCAACACAGAACATTGCTTACAGAACAGACACATGGGGAGCAGGTACATTGTGGAAGGTGTCCAGAAAGAAAATGGCCATTCTTGGTATCATCTGACTAAAAGCCCCCAAGGCTGTGTCTAGGGTTGCCATTCTCCAGGTAGAGCCTGGAGCTCTCCCGTGATTACAATTGATGATAGAGATCAGTTCCCCTGGGAAAACGTCTGCCATGAAGGGTGGACTCTATGACACTGCATCCAGCTGAGGCCCCTCCCCTCCCCAAACTCCACCCTCTTCAGGTTCCATCCCCCCCAATCTCCAGGTATTTCCCCACCCAGAGCTGGCAACCTGAGCCTATGTCAGTTTGAAGTGTAGGTGGGTCGGGTTGCCAGCTCTGGGCGGGGAAATACCTGGAGATTTGGAGGGTGGAGCCTGCAGAGGGCAGAGTTTGGGGAGGGGAGGGACTTCAATGGGGTGTGATGCCACAGAGTCCACCTTCTACAGTGGCCATTTTCTCCAGGTGAACTGATCTCTGTCACCTGGAGGTCAGTTGTAATAATGGGAGATCTCCAGCCACCACCTGGAGATTGGCAACCCTAATGTGTATATGTGGAGGCGTTACTTTTAAATATATATGAAGACATGAAGATGCTTTCTGCTGAGTTAGACCATTGGCCAATTAAGGTCACCAATGTTTATTCTGACTGGCAGTGGCTCTCCAGGGTCTCCTGTAGCAGCCTTTCAGATCACCTGCAACAAGCTCCTTTAAACTGGAGGTGCCACAGATTGATCCTGGGAACTTCTGTATGCCAAACAGATGCTCTGCCATTGAACCAGAGTCCCTCCTGACCCACGAGCTTCTTTTCATTATGCGCAAGGTTCTAGTTGCAGGCAGTCATGAAACCTATTGCCAGCAGGACTGTATTCTACTGAATTGGTTATGTTCAAATACCTTTCCCAGAATTGCAAGTCAGAAGCTAGGGAGGGATAACTAACAGTTTAGAAACACAGTGTGATTCCCCCCCACCCCAAGTGATAGCAAATATTCTATCAAAATATACTTTTAAATCATTTATAAAGCCCAACTGCTAGGCCTACTAAATTGAAGTTTTGATTCATGGTGCATGCAGTGCACTTAATGGATCAGGAGACACTTTGGTTGGACATAATAATGCTTACAAATATACCCTATAAATACTACGCACAAGCCTCAATGACTTTTCAACTCAATCTGGAAGCAAGTGGAATTTTCATCTATTTCACACTGGTTGAAAGCTTCCTGAACAGGCTATTTTATTACAACTGTAATGTGAGTGTGATATTCTACCAAGTCATACTAGCTCTGTTTCAAACAATTTGAACAAACTGTTGCATGAATATCTGCACAAAAAGAAATTCATTACACTTACACATTTAAACAGCTGATAGGTATTCTTTTTAAAAGCCAGATTCAGGATAGGATTAATGATCAGAGTAAAAATTTTGTTCTTCCCAACAGCTACTGGAGTTAAGACTTCACATAATGCCCTAAAATACTAATCTGAGAGATGATTTTGGAAGGATTTTTAGTCTTTGTCGCTTGGCACTTTCCCTTCCCCCCCACTTGTCTTTGACATACTTCTCCCCCCCCAACAAGCACAAATATGCCTGCCATCCTCTTAATTTACAGTGCCACTAATTTCAGTGATATTTGCATACATGCAATTGAGCGCAAGAGAGCATTTAAACTAGACAGTGCAACTCCTGCAGTGAGAGCTGCCAACGCAAGTAATGGGACAACCTCTGGTTTGCTTTTCCCTCCATTTTTTAAATGGTCCCTATTAAATAAACCAAAACAATTGCCATTTTTCATAGACAGGAGCCACAACTGAAAGGCACCATGTACAAGGAGGCAGGCAGTAAAATCCACTGAATGGCCACAAACAGATGCCCTGTTGTGCCACCCTTTGACAGAGCTGCCCCAAGAGAAACTGTTCTCTTTCATTATGACCAGTCTGGGCAGAGCCAACACTGACAGTGGTTAGATCACCTGGACATCTCTCTTCTGCTTCCCAGACTACAGGCTTGCTTTAATCGATACAGCACTCTCTAGAGTAGGGACTCTGCTCAGCCGAGGACCCCTGTTTCTATAGGATGATGTGGGAGATTAGTGGTGTAAATCCGTCATCCTGCTCTCTACATTCCAAACATGGTAACGGTTTCACTTATTGTGGTGGTGTGCCAGGGCTGGAGATCTCCTGGGATTACGACTGATCTCCAGGTGACAGAGATCAGTTTCCCTGGAGAAGGTGGATTCTACAGCATTGAACCCCACTGAAGTCCCTCCTCTCTCTCCATCTCCACCCTCCTCAGGCTCCACCCCCAAAATCTCCAGCTATTTCCAAACCCAGAGCTGGCAACCTTAGTTTTGACAACTCTGTACCTGCAATTCAGGCCAGTGTTTTAGACTGCCCGAGTTCACTCTGAGTCCACTTGTTGTGGGCAGGAAGGGGGAGAAAGGAAGTTGTATTCCCAGCAGCTCCAGATAGAGAAGGAACTGGACTTATTAAACTGTGCTCCTGTCGGAAACCATGCTGCCTACTTATTTTGGTACCAAGCATTAAGAGCACAACACTTATCACAATAGGAGTCTGCAGTGCAGGCAGTCTTACTCCTAGCTTCGTGAGAGAGAATATACAATGTTGGAGAGCAGCAGCAGACCCACACGGGCCTTCACAAAGGTTGACTTCATATGCTCAACGGTCAGTTTCCTTGGGGCAGGAGATTGCTCTTTGTGCTCACAGAACTCTGTAAATCACATTCTAAAACACTGTCATCGACACTGATTGTGCTGCCATATAAATAAATCAATAAATTGTCACCATCATTGCCATCAAACCATTTGACAGAATGTATTCAACAAGCATACCCCAAACTACATAGGAGTTTTTGCAGGAGGCCTCTTTCTATTAGGCTTCTGGAAGGAAACTTAGGGTTGCCAGGTCTGGGTTGGAAAATACCTGGAGACTTTGGGGGTGGATCCGGGATAGGGTGGGGTTCGGGGTGGGGAGGGGCCTCAGCATGGTACAATGCCATAGAGTCCACCCTTCAAAGCAGCCATTTTCTCCAGAGGAGCTGATCTCTTTCAGCTGGAGATCAGCTGTAAAAGCGGGAGATCCCCAGGCTCCACCTGGAGGCTGGCAACCCTAAGGCAACTAGATGGAGGGCAACAGATCAAGGTGCCCTCATTCTGTTAGGTGCACAGCTCCACAAGGTCTCAGGCACAATGACACAAAAAATAGGATAGAGAACCATAGGGAATTGAGGGTAGGATGACCATTGATGGATCTCAAGATCTCACTCTCCCCTGTAACCCTCATGCACAAACAGAAAGCCAATCATAACAACGGCCCAGGAAGATTGAATTTTAAATAAGTATTACCATTGCATTTCCAGACTATGAATTATTTTAAATTAACAATATCAACCAAGAACAGCAAGGGTTTAAACAAATGAGATGCCTAATCCCAGAAGATATAAGATTTTGTTTGGCCACAGTAACCACGCTCACCCTGAGTTGGGAAAACTCTATGGTTTCCCCTCGGATGGTCGTGGCCCCGCCCCCAGCGTGCCCGGTGTGGTTGCATCACTTCTGAGTGATGTGGATGTGGCGCGCACGCGCACTCCAGCTGCCAGCCAGGAGTCCCCTGCTGCGGCGAAATTCAGACTTGGCAACCCTAGAGTGAGGTCATGCATAACTCTAATGGTAACAGATCAGCATTTCAGGCAGAACCCTTTTAACACACACACACACACACAGCATTTAAAAATATTTTCTTGCATGCACACAACTTATCTTCAGTCACACATTGAAGATCCTTGTGCTGTGGTGGCAGCTGTTGCCAAGGCCACTTTTAAAAAATCTGCACAGCCAGTCAGATTTCCAATGGCCAGTCAGAAGCCCTACTGGGCAAAAGCTCCACCTGGCCCCACCCACTTTCTAAAAACACTTGGTAGGCCCCAGGAAAAGTGTGGGTAGGCACCACGTTGTGGCCCCCCGGCTAGGACAATAGGGAAAAAAAAACAAAGAGCCCTGTGTTTTTGACAGAACACTCATAGCACCTAAAAATCATCCCTACCTATCCAATCCCGTGCTCCTCCAGGCAGAAAAGTCAGATGTATGGTGTTTGTTAGCAATTGTGGTACAGATAGAACAAAACGGAGGACGGGTTTGATGTCCTACCCATGACAGCCATCAAATGAAAACCACAGGTGGGGTGTGCACATTCTTCTATTTCTATGGCCCTGCTGCATAAAGATAAGGTGGGCCAAGACAAAGGCCTGTGCACCGAGCCTCCTGGGCCTAGGAAACACCCTTGTTGTAATGGAGAGGATTTTTGTGCTGTCCCAGGGTTTAACTGATTTGTTTCTGTTGTTGCTAGTGGTAGCTACAGTGCCTCACTTGTTCTTGTCCTTTCCAGTTCAGCTCTGGCCTCCTCACAGTGTCCAAATGGAAAGTGACAGGAAGCCTTCCTACAATTTGACATGGCAGCTCCATAATGTCTCTCATTACTTAGAAGGGCAGCTGGAGTACGAAGTAGCTTACAAAAAGCCAGATGATCCTGATAAGGTAAGTGTGAAGTGACATCCCTACAGATGGCAAAGACTTGTGGATATTTGTTGCTTCTGAGTATACCTAAGGCCAAATGGTCATGTCTCAAGAGGGGGAGGGGGAAGGAGATTTGTTGAGGTTCTTATCAAATGTGCAGATTTGGTGATATTCCACACAGTTCCAGTAGGCTTCCCAAGTCCCCCCGAGGGGCGGGGAAAACCCCGCCTCAGAGGCCCGTTCCCCGCCGCCTGAACCCCACCCTGACAAGCACGTCACCCAGATGTGACGTGATGACGCCGGGCATGCTGGGGGCGGGGCCACGGTCATCCGAGGGAAAACTCTATGGTTTCCCCTCGGATGGTTGTGGCCCCGCCCCCAGCGTGCCCGGCGTCGTCACGTCACTTCCGGGTGATGTGCGTGCGGCGCACGTGTGCTTCGCGTGCGCTGCACGCTCAAGTTGCCGGCCAGGAGTCCCCCGCTGCGGCACATGCAACCACTTGGCAACCCTAAGTTCCAGTCTGCTTGGAGGGTTTAGGCCTCCAAAAAGTTTGGCACTACCAGAATTGTTATGAGCCATCTCGGAAAAGCGTGCAGAAATTACAGTATGGTACAAAATGCATCTTTCAAAGTCTTGACTGGGGCTTGTCTAACAACTTTACTGTACCAACTCCTTTGGCTTCCAGTTGAGTTACCAACTCTGGGTTTGGCTGTTACTGGAGATTTGGGGTAGAGCCTGAAGGGAGGGTGGGATTTGAGGTGGGGACCTCAATGGAATATAATGCCACAGCAGTCAATTTGTACAGGGGAACTGATCTCTGAAGCCTGACTCTGGACATCAGTTGCAATTTTGGGAGATATCCAGGCCCCACCTGAAAGTTGGCAATCCTATTTCCTAATAGGGTTGTCATCCTTTAGTTGGTGGCTCGGGATCTCCTGGAATCATAACTGATCTCTAGGCTTCAGAGATCAGTTCCCCTGGAGACAATGGCTGGTTTGGAAGGTGGACTCTGTGGCATTATACCTTGCTAGGCTCTTCCCCTCTCCAAATCCCAAATCTACATATATAAATGCACAAAGGCAGTTGAAAATGGTGTAATTGACGATGATCTCTGGATGCATCATAACATAGTTGCAAGAGATTCTCTGAAAGAAGGTTCCTAGGGCAAAGTATAAGGCATTATACAAGCAATTTGCCCTAGGAACATTCTTTCAGAGAATCTCTTGCAACTATGTTATGATACATTGGTGAAAATTAATGAAATTGTTGATACGTACCTGTTGAAATAACAGACCAAGAGTCGCTGCTTTCATCCACATTCGGAAGAAGAATAGCATCGAAACGATAGAACATTCCGGAAATCATCGTCAATTACACCATTTTCAACTGCCTTTGTGCATTTATATATGTAAATTTTTTGTACACATTTTTGTATACATTTTGTGATTGTTATTTAAATATTCTCTAGTGCAGTTACCTCACAGTTTCTTCTTTTTTCGGTCTGTCTTGAAAACAGCCAGTTTGATTCCTTTCTCCAAACAGAACCCAAGAGTTTTTATTTTTGTTGCATCTCCTGGTTCTTTATGCAAAAAAAAAAATTGTCCTGTGAAATATGTGGAGTAATCAACATGATTCTTGTGACAATTTTGTATAAAATGTACATGACATATTAAAAATGCTGCAGGAATGTTGTTGGGGGGGAATAATGAATTTGGAATACCAATAATAAAATGACGTAAAATGAAGAAAGTTAATGACAACAATATGCTATGCTAAAGAGAAATGAAAAAGTTGTATGTGTGTATATCCCTGCTATATGCAATTGTTGGACAACCAGGTGCTCAGATGGAAGAAGTCACCTAAATTATGAGATACCCTGAAGCCCTAGCAGGTACAAAAATGTTGTACAGTGACTGCACCCAGTCATCACTTTCCTTTCGACTCCACTGCAGGCTGACACAATCCTGCCCATTACTTATGATCAGCAGTGGATAGAAATTGAGAATCTTTCTCCTGGCACAGAGTATGAGGCGGCTGTTCGTGTCAAGGTGCAAGATTACAGTAGTTACAAGAGCATATGGAGCCACTGGAGTACAACGTTAAAGTGGAGGACTTACCCAAAAGGTAGAACTCATAGTTTGTCTTTGAAATATATGACCCTTTTCTGACATTACAATCATACTGGAAGCACGTGTACAGAGAGTTTGCTGCCTGCGATTAGGGTTGCCAATCTCCAGGTGGAGACTAGAGATCTCTCACTATTACCATTGATCTCTTCCCCTGGAGAAAATGGCTGCTTTGGAAGGAGGACTGCATGGCATTATACCCTGCTGAAGTCCCTCCCCTCCCCAAATTTCACCCTCCCCAGGCTCTGCCCCCTAAATCTCCAGGTATTTCCCTTCCCAGATCTGGCAACCCTCCTTGCAATCCTCCCAATATGCATGGCTTTTTTGTTGTGGGAATTGGGGGGTGGGGTGGGCCTAGGTGTATTTACAGCCTTGGTGTGCATGAACATAAACTCTGAAAATCAGTGGTCAGCTCACACACACCAGAGCTGTATGTGCATTATGTTGCCCCGATCACACAACATGTCAATCAGACATATCAGGAGCATTTATACAAGGTTGGGAGGCTCCCAGTGCACGTGATCGTAACACCTGAACAGCGTTTAAGTCTTCAGTTAATGACTAAACAATGAGAGGTCAGAATCCTCTCTTCCACTAATTTCTACTGTGTTCTCTTTCTAATTATTCCTGAAGAACCGCCCTGGCTTAGCTTCCTTCCAGTTCCTCTAGCCTTTGGCATCAGTTTGATCTCCGTCTTCCTCATTGTCGCTGTCTTGCTGGTCAAAACACGGACACCAAAATGGTAACCAAATACTGAAATCTCACTTTCACTCTTCCCTTCTGGGATATTTTGTGTGTTTTTTCGGGCAACTAATAGCCATCCACCACATCGACCCTTCTCAAGAGCACCTGCCCCTGCCAAAGTAGTTGTAGATCCTTAACCTGATTTGCAAGCACTGCTGTTATATATGCTTGTCCAGTGAAAACACAGACGGCTATTTATTTATTTATTTATTTATCAGATTTATGCCCTGCCCTCCCCGCAAAACAGGCTCAGGGCGGCTTCCATACAAGCATAAATACAGTTAAAATCATACAGTTATTTAAAACACAACAGATAAAACAATACAAACAAAGTGCTGGCGGCAGTGAAAAGATGGCTCATTTTCAAAATGAATTTCCACTTCTCAGATGTTCTCAGATGTTCTTCTGCTCATAATTTCTTGTGGCATCGGCTCGATGTTAAAATCACGAGCCAGGGCTCTACAGCAGTGGCAGTCCCTAATTAAATGCCTGGTGGAAGAGCTCTGTCTTGCAGGCCCTGCGGAACTGTGAGAGATCCCACAGGGCCCTGATCTCCTCCGGGAGCTTGTTCCACCAGGTAGGGGCCGCCACTGAAAATGGTAGTAGCTAGCCTGGCATCCCTCAGGCCAGGGAGGGTCAACCGATTTTGAGACCCGAACTGTAGTGCACTCTGGGGTATTTCTGGGGAAAGGCGGTCCCGTGGGTATGTCGGACCCCGGCCATATAGGGCTTTGAAGGTAAGAACCAGCACCTTGAAGTTGATTCGGTATGCTATTGGTAGCCAGTGCAGTGTTCTCAGCACAGGCTGGATGTGCTCCCACCGGGGGAGGCCCATCCACAGCCTGGCTGTAGCATTCTGCACTAGCTGCAGCTTCTGAATCTGCGACAAGGGCAGCCCCATCTAGAGAGCGTTACAGTAGTCTAGTCTCGAGGCACAGGACCTCCGTCTTCACTGGATTCAACTTCAGCCAGCTCAGTCTAAGCCAACCAGCCATGGCTTGCAAAGCCTGGTCCAAATCTTCTGGTCTGGAGTCCGACTGGCCACCCAACATCAGATAGAGCTGGGTGTCATCAGCGTACTGGTGGCATCCCAGCACATGCCTCCAGGCAATCTGGGCAAGGGGGCGCATATAGATGTTAAATAACATCAGGGACAGCACTGCCCCTTGAGGCACACTGCACTCAAGCGGGTGCCCCATGGACTGCTGTTCCCCTTTGTCCCTGACCCTAGAGAAAGGAAGCAAGCCATTGCAGGGCAAGCCCCTGAATCCCCATGTCAGTGAGGTGGTGGGCCAGTAACTGGGAAATTTGGAGACTAGGAAATTTGGAGATTTCTTTGACCACTGTGTACTAGGATTCCCAGGTCCCCTTGTCACTCCAGCGGGAAGATTTGGGGGGCATTCCAGGGATAGGTGGGAATTCCCCAAGCTCCGCTCCAGGGCCCATCCCCAAGAGTGAACACTCAGGGCCACCTCTCTACCTCCCCTCCTGCATGATTTAGAGGGCTTCAGCTGATTGGTGGGGAGCATGTGGCCCGCCGATCAGCTGGAGAACCCTTTAAATCTTTCAGAAGGGAGGGAGGGAGCTGTCGCTGGCCACATGCTCTGCTTGCAAAAAGACCCTTTAAAGGTTCTTTTTGCCAGTGGGGTGGGGGGCACGGCATGTGGGGCTGATTTCCCAGTATCACCCCACTCGCACCCAAACCCCAGCAGGTGAGAGGGGTTTGCAATCAGGAGGGTATAAAACTTCACTCAGCCAAGGCACCTCACATGAACAGAGAGACAGTGGCCCAATCTGTATCTAGCATTTGCTCCGCTGTTTTACCAAACCCACACTGGAACAGAAAAAGATGCAGCTCAAAACCACATTCAAATACCCTCATCCAACACCGTACTGACTGCAGAGCCATAATCTATGCAGATGCTACCATAAAACTGATAGATCAAATGAAGTGAAAGTCTGGACACTGCCATAAAATCCGGCAATCAATCAAAGTGAAAGTGGCATGCAATGTAAGGGGAATTTCTGTTCCAGTGTGGGTTTGGTACAACAGCAGAACAAATACTAGATGCAGATTGGGCCAGAGTGGCAAAATGTTGTGGGTCAGCCAGGGCTCAGCAATAGCGAGGACTCCTCAGGAGAAGAGGACTCCTCAAGAGAGAGGACTCCTCAAGAGAGAGGACTCCTCAAGAGAGAGGACTCCTCAAGAGAGAGGACTCCTCAAGAGAGAGGACTCCTCAAGAGAGAGGACTCCTCAAGAGAGAGGACTCCTCAAGAGAGAGGACTCCTCAAGAGAGAGGACTCCTCAAGAGAGAGGACTCCTCAAGAGAGAGGACTCCTCAAGAGAGAGGACTCCTCAAGAGAGAGGACTCCTCAAGAGAGAGGACTCCTCAAGAGAGAGGACTCCTCAAGAGAGAGGACTCCTCAAGAGAGAGGACTCCTCAAGAGAGAGGACTCCTCAAGAGAGAGGACTCCTCAAGAGAGAGGACTCCTCAAGAGAGAGGACTCCTCAAGAGAGAGGACTCCTCAAGAGAGAGGACTCCTCAAGAGAGAGGACTCCTCAAGAGAGAGGACTCCTCAAGAGAGAGGACTCCTCAAGAGAGAGGACTCCTCAAGAGAGAGGACTCCTCAAGAGAGAGGACTCCTCAAGAGAATTCCACAAGTAAGAAATTGAAGAAAAGAATGGAAGAAATTGAAACAAAGCAAAAGTTCCAAGAAAGCCGTTTGCTGCAACTACAGATGGAAAAAGCTAACATGATTCTCAGGTTCCAGGGAGTTCCTGAAGCAGAGAAGGAGGACCCGAGGAGGTTGCTCAGCGAGATCATCGCTCCAGCAATAGGCTTAACAGTGGATGAGTTGGTAAAAGAAATGGAGATGGCCTATAGGGCATACTCCAATTATATTTTAAAAAATAGCCTGCCTGGAGAAATTGTGGTCAGATTCTCAAGAAGACAGACCAGAGATGCTATCTTAAAAGCGACATCAGCAACTCCACTGAAAATGGGAAATATAACCATCAAAACCTTAAAAGATATTCCATTTGAAATCCAACAAAAGAGGAAAAATTATAAGGATTTAATTTCTTTCTTTCAAACCAATGGAATTTTGTATAGGTGGGCAATTTCGGAGGGTGTCATATTTAAGATCAATGATAAAAGAGAGAAGATAGACTCCACTTTCAAAGCTAAAGAGTTTTTGCGGCGTCTGTTAGGAATGGAGGAAGTGTCCAAGGAGGAGGAAACGAAATCTAGTGACTCTGCCACCTCTGGAACAGAAGAGGACTCTGCTGCAGAAATGGGAGCAGGTGCTGCCTAGGTTTGCCAAGTCCCCCCGGGGGGCGGGGAAACCCCGCCCAAGAGGCCCGTTACCCGCCACCGGTGGATCGGGCCCCGGGGGGAACCCCACCCCCAAAGCATGCACCATGCCCAGTGTCAGCACATCACCCGGAAGTGATGCAATCACATCGGGCACATTGGGGGCAGGGCCACGATCATCCGAGGGAAAACTCTATGGTTTTCCCTCAGATGATTGTGGCCCCGCCCCCAACATGCCCGACATGATTGTGTCACTTCTGGGTGACGTAATTGCAGCTTTGCGCGCGCGCATGGACTCCCGGACGAAGACTGGACTCCCCCGCTATACAACAGGTGAGGACTTGGCAACCCTAGTGCTGCCAGAGTTGTATATGACTTTAGAGACAGAAAGCCGAAGTAAAGGCAGAAGAACTCGGAAAATAGCCTTTTAAAGTGAAGAACAAGAAGATGATCAGAAAGTTCTCTCATAACATATTAACACATAAACACTGAAGCTGAGATAAACAAGAACTCTACAAGTATATTGTGATACTAAAACTTATAGTATTAACACTTACACTAACAGGGATAAGATCTCCTCCTCTTGGGGTTTTAGTATAGTGTGGTTATTTATTCTTTATCCCTAGATGTAGTTCCCTCCCTAATATTTTCTTTGTAGTTTTGTAGTTTATTGCAAAAATAAAAATATCCCTTCAGAAATTTTTTTAAAAAAGAAAAGAAAAAGAAAAACTGTTAAATATTATATTGGTCTGCAGAATCACATGATTGCTGCCATCATTGTATGGATCCAGACGACCTAGAGGCACACGTCTTTTCAAAGCTTAGCATGTGTGGCCTGCAACTATGGCGTGGGGAGACAGTCTGTAGCCTTGGATCATGTGCTTATGCCTAGTGATGCTACATTTCCCTGGATTTCTGAGATTTTAAGTGACTGCTCTGATGGCTTTCAGTGGCTTTAATCCTCCCCCCCCCCCCTTTTTTTTTAAAAAAAAAGTATTTTGGAGGAGGAAATGTCATGTCCTGAGACTTTGTTCATACTGTTATGGAGCACTAGGCTGAATCTTTAAGTAGCTCCTTTTACCTCTTCATCACAACAGCTGTCACAGCAGTGCTGTCTTCTGTTTGTATAACTGCTTGACAATCCTTCTTCAGAGTTTGTTTTTTGTAATGCTTGGTGGCTGTCGTTCTTTGGAGCTATATTCATTCCCAAACTCTCCCTGCTATAGGCTTCAGAAGGTGCTGAAGATCCATTTACCAGACCCAGTCAAGTTCTTCCCATCTCTCACGGCTGTCCATGGAGGAGATGTTCAGGTAAGGAGGCTGGGTGATTAGGGAAATGAGGATAAGAGACCTAATCCGAAAGAGAACAAGGAGAATAGAGAGAAGTGTAAGCCTGTTTTCCAGTGTAGGCTATGGCAGTAATGCTTGCAGGACAGCGTGTTACCAAGCCTGCCTCTCATTGGGGTATTTGTTTAAACTTGGTTTGCAATGGCCTGCCACATTTAGCTAAGTTGCCTTCAGTTGTAGAAGCCGGAATCTCTTCTCTGAGTATGGCTCTGTGGCGAGGAAGTTTCAGGGTAATCTGCAAACCAGTTGAGAATTTAGGGAAGCTGAGGGATGATGTACACATTGCATGGGAAATCCAGGGGCGGAGGAGGAGGTGATCAAGATGCAGCAGGAGGGAAAGTTTAACCATCCTCCATTGTGCCGTTTTCCTGAAAACAGCTCAGGAACACACAATGTTATCAGGAATAGTGCAAGGGGAAAGGGTTAACACCAGTGTTCCCTCTAAGCTGAGTTAATGTGAGCTAGCTCACAGTTTTTTAGCCTCCGGCTCACACATATTTGTCTTGGCTCAGGAAGGAAGGCTCCAGAGCAAACTGATTTATTCAGTAGCCAAATCGCTCGCTCACAACTTTAATGGCAGTAGCTCACAGAGTAGAATTTTTGCTCACAAGACTACACAGCTTAGAGGGAACATTGGTTAACACCCCCCCCCATGTTGCTGTTTTCCAAAGATCCAAGTCCCCTCTGTCTGTTTTTCAATGTTAACAAACATGTCAGGAGAGCTCATTCCAGGTCTCCCACAGAGTTCAGCCTGAGCCCACTCTCCTCTTTCTATTTCCTCCTCAGCTTCCCTTTGCTCTTCTTCTTATTTTACATACAATTTTTCAGTTCATTTTTTCCCCTACCTATAAATATGTCAGGAGCCACATTTCCTACCGACTTTAAAAAATAATAATAATAAAGTTGAATTTATAGCACCAGGGCCTGAAGGATTAACAGTAGTTTAGCAAGCAAATGTAAAATATCCGTTTAAAATCCAGATAGTCACAACACTGTAAATGTTAACACTATCTTTCATAGTGATTCTTAAACTGCAATTTAAAGACCACTTTAACGGAGGCCTTATGGCAGGCAGTGAGGCCAAGGATCCATTCAGCAAACCATGGTTTGGCATTACAGGAATGTAAGGTAAAGTAAAGGCTCCCTTGCTCGAAAGCCAGTCGAATCTGACTCTAGGGTTGCGGTGCTCATCTCCGTTTCAAAGCCGAAGAGCCAGCGCTGTCCGAAGACATTTCCATGGTCATGTGGCCGGCATGACTAAACACCAAGGCGCACGGAACCCTGCTACCTTCCCACTGAAGTGGTACCATTTATCTACTTGCAATTTCTTGCTTTCAAACTGCTAGGTTGGCAGGAGCTGGAACTAGAGACGGGAGCTCACTCCATCATGCGGCACCCGGGTCTCGAACTGCTGAACTACTGACCTTCCACAGCCTGCAGTTCAGCGTCTCAACCACTTGAGTGTACCTTGTGTTTAAACTCCCCCCCCCCTCCCGTCTCACAGTCTCTGATTCAGTTGCTTCCTGTTTAGTACAAAGTATACCTTAAGGTTACATTGACCATGGTTTCCCATTGCTCTCCAACAGCAGGACTGCAAACCATGCTTCAAAGATCATTTTCAGTCTAGGGGGCATGTACATAGCTTGCCACTTCGAATGTAATGGTAACTTATGATTTGCACTAAACAGAAAATAATAAATTGAATCTGAATCCAAAGTTGAGGAGGGAAAGGAAAGCTTGCCAGGCCAAGACTCACTCTTCAAATGTCCAGCTGTGGTTCGGAGTTATATGTGAACTGACCTCATGCTGAAAATAATAGTGGGAACTGGGAAATGCTGAGAAGGACAATGGGAAGCAGCTGCCTGGTGGAAGCTTTGGGTCCCACTGATTAGGAGAAAACCGGGATCTAAATATTTTAAATAATTATGGCCTCCCATGTTTTGACCCTATGAAGGGGGTCGGCCCCAAATAGCAGTGTTTCTTCTGAAATTTGGCTCAGCAGCACAGAGCATCAGTGCTTCCTCCATTTACTTTCAGTGCCATTATTTTAGCCAAAATACTCAGTACAGCTGTATTGCAATGCAGAATGAATTCATTTCATTCTCTCATTAATCTTTGAAGCTGTCACTGTTACATGTTCTTAATTCTGTGATTCAGTAAAAGCAAGGAAAAACATAGCCATGTCCACAATACAATAACATTTCAGATAGGGCTTCATTCAAGTCCCTATTGCCAGGTGTAATAGAGAAATCTTGAGAATGCTTGCCAAAGATGCTCGGGGTTCATGCTTTGGTGGATTGGAGGGTCAAACCAGCCATGATGATGCAGGAAATCTATAATTAGAATCTCCCTGATTGTTTTGTTTTTTACTAACTAATGGTCCTATGTGGCTGCTTTGAAGACCAGGGCACTGGAAGATGTTTCACCCTTTTGTCCAATGCTGTTTCCCCAGTCTAAATCACCAACTTCCCTTCCCCATAACTGCTATTTTTTTCATCAGGGGGGAAGACAGTGGCTATTAAGCCAAATAACAGTGTGGATAATGTACCTGTCACCCCACTCTCCAAGCTAATAGCAGCTTTTTGGGGAGGCAATGATTTAGATCAGGAATGTGGCATGGCCAGAAGACATCCCCCCAGTACTTGGAATGCCAGCCTCCAGGTGGGAGCTGGGGATCCCCTGGAATTACAGCTCATCTCCAGACTACAGAGATCAGCTCCCATAGACGGTGGACTCTATGGCATTGTACCCCACTGAGGTACCTCCCCAGGCCCCATTCCCAAATCTCCAGGAGTTTCCCGACCTGGAGCTGGCAACCCTACAACCCCATCACTTGCCAGTGGCCGGGGGGACTTGGCAACCCAACCCAGTACCACTCTACCAAACTTCAAAGCATAGAACTGCTAATTAGTAAACCCAAAGGGGGTGGGATTCTAATTATGGATCTTCCATGTCATATCTAGTTTGACCCACAGGGGGGAAAAGAGTTCTAGAGAATACAAGTCCAGGTGCAAGAAATGTCATTGTGGCACCTAGTGTTTTCTACAATGATTTTGTCGTAGTGTCTCTCAGCATTTCTCAGTGTAAGTACAAACCTTACTTAGCATTTTGCGCCAAAAACGTTTTGCTGCATGACATTAAAATAAACATGTGTGAAGTTTTTATCATCACTCATTTATATGTACACAGACATTTATCCCTTTCCTTTAGTGGTCGATGAATTCATTCATTCATCCCAGGTTCAATAACATGGAGTTTTTAAAAGCAGTAATGGAATTATAAGAAACTGGGGAGAAGTCAGGCTAGGGTTAGAAGTCCGCTTTTTGTTAGTATTTGTATACTGCCACACTTTTGTTGTAGCATTAATAAAATTACAAGAAACTGTGAAGAGGTCAGGATTAAGTTCTGTTGTAGCAATAATTTAGAAATGCGGTCATTAAAAAAACAAAATCCTGAGAGTTAAAAAATGAGTCTGGGTTCTAAATTTTTGGACTGGTTTCTAGAACCAAAGAAAATTTGTCAAGGCTTTCTGTATGGGAATATCAGAATGGATCCACTTACTCTGAAAGTGGACAGAGAGTTCCTGAGCCTGAGCATTACTCTTGAGATGTTCTGAAGATCATCCTTTGTATTTTGTCCACATTTCCCCCTTAAACTGAACAGAAGTGGCTGTCCTCTCCGTTGTCCATGGATTCCTTCCACATCACTGCTGCATCCCCAGATGTCTCTGTGCTTGAGGTACTGCAGAAAGGCAGCCAGGATCCTTGCCTCCTCCTTCCCAAGGATTGTCTTACTCCTATGGATGCTCCAGAGACCAGTGGGCATTCCTTATCCAGTTGTTTTGTCAACCGCGGCTACTTTTTCTTCCACCACCTTCATTCCCTTGAGATTGAGCCCTGCAAGGTGTACTTCACATATGACCCCATTGCTCAAGAAAACAGTGGCAGTGAGGATGGTGACTCCTACCAAGCACTCCACACAACAGGGAGTCACCTGCCATTGCCTTCCTACAGCCTCGTGGGGAGCCAAGAGGGTGTTTCACTGCTGCCAGAAATGAAGGAACCAACTCAGAAGGCTCATCAGACCATCAGCCCTCCATCCATGGGGAGATCCCCACCTGCATCGGCAACAGAACAGGGTGAGACCCAGGAAGAGAGCGAAGCCATTTTTCCAGTCTCCATTTCTCTGCATCAGTCTCCCATGGGTATTTCAAGTGTCCACAAGCATCCTAACAGCAATGCTAATGAGACAGAGGCAATTACAAATGTAGCAACTCACACCAGTTCTATAGGAGAGAATGCACCTTCATTTCTCCAGCCTCTGATTCTGAGTCCAGGCAAAGCCAGTGACGTCTGCAGAAGTGAATCCTCTAGCCAGGTCCCTAACTCTGAGGCCTACTTGTCCTTGAGAGAGCTCCAGAGCCAATACAGCCATCAGTCTGTCTGAATTCTGTTGGAAGAATACTTGGCTACTTTACTGCTGACCTCCGTTTCCAGATCATCTGTGAACAAATTAAATACCACTGGTCCTCCTAACACCAGTTCAGAGCAGTTCCAGTTCACAGTTTATGGTTGTCATAGATGAAATGCAGATAATAGTTTGTTTGTTATTTGTTTGTTTTCTTTCAAGTTGATTTGAGCCTTGGTCAGGATTCTTGCTGGGACCTGGATGGCCCAGACTAGCCCAGTCTTCTCAGATCTTGGAAGCTAAGCAGGGGCAGCCCTGGTTAGTATTGAGATGGGAGGCCACCAAGGAAGGCCGGGGTCACCACCCAGAGGCAAGCAATGGCAAACCACCTCTGCTCATCTCTTGCCTTGAAAACCCTGTGGGGTTGCTCTAAGTTGGCTGTGACTTGACAGCACTTTCTGTCACCACCAACAGAAACCTTCCTTGTACAAAGGCTTATGACCCCAAGTGACGAATCTTGTGAACAGATTTTTCACATTCAAAATGCATAACAGGGGCCGCGGTCAGACATGCCTTTAGATCCGACTCAGCTGCGAATGCCTGACGGATCTAAAGGGCATGATCAGACAGCAACATCTTGGAAAAGTCCTGCAGTTGTTGGCACCCTGTGCTGCTCCACCACAAAAGCTAAGTTAAAAGACACCAGAGAAAGTCCAGTCCTAATGCTTGCCGATGAGCCATGGGTGGACTTGTCTGATCGCGCAAGCACGCACTCAAGCCGTCAGGATGGTCTAATCATTCCATCCTGACACGGTGCCGGTTTTTCCCTCCTCACTTAGCAGTATGCGTGTAACCGCATACTCCATGGGGGAACCCTCAGTGTGGAGCAGCGATTCCTCGTTTATGCGCATGGGAAACAAAAGGCAAAAAAACTCCACTCACTCCAGGTGGCGTCTGATAACACAATGATGGGCTGAGCCCGCAGCACAAAGCTATGTGTAATCACACCCCTGTGAGTCAATTCCACCAGAAGTAATAGGGGCGCTTCCCCTCTGCACCAAATGGCACGTCTGACCGCAGCCATAAAGAAGTCCTCAGACTTTTAAAAAATTCCAGTAGAAAAATTGGGAAATCTGGGGGAACACTGGGGAAAAACCCTTCTATGACATATTTTCCTTTTTGTGAGAAAAAAATTGTCAAAAAAGCATTCCCAGCGGGAAAACTGGGAAAATTGGGGAACATTGGAAACACACACACCCCGGAATGGAATAGGTGAAATAGAAGACAACAGGCATTTCCATATGGCATTATTGTGTTAGTTCTGTCGCTAAGCTGCTCTTGTTTATCCCGTTGGTTCCACATGTTCTCTTGAGCCATTAGTTTTCTTTTTGTGTGTGTATGTGTTTTGTGTGCTTGCCTGGAAGTCATGGTTGACCTCTGGTGACCCCTACTGGGGCTTGGACGTTTTTCAGAGAGGTGGCTTGGTTAGCCTGCCTCTGGTATTCCTTTGGAAGTTGCCCTTCCAAGTACTTGCCAGGCTCAGCCCTGCTTAGCTTCCAAGATCTGACAATCGGGCTTGCCTGGGCTATCCAGGTGAGGGCAGCCATTAGTTTTCTATTTGCCTTTTTTCCTGATCCTTTTGGGACCACTTTTATACTACCATTTCCTAATAATCGATTTCGAGCCACATTTATTCTGTAATGTTTTCTTCTGTTTTTGTTGGTTCCTCCCACTTCCCATGCATTTTCTGCAGATTGGACTGTGACTGTGGGACAATCCCACCCTATACTCTCCTCCTACCTGATCTCGGTAGTATGTATTTTTTAAAGAAAATTATTTATATTTACATGTAATTTTTATCCCTTGTGTCAGCAAATTTTCAACTTTTTTTTTAAACAATTCTTGCCTGATAGCAATATATTACCGTACGAAGGCACACAGATGCTTGTTGCTCTTGCCGCAATTGGTACTTTTTTCTTTCTCTGCCCTGACATTTTTTGTTGGTGCAGACATTTGCTTTCTTGCACTCTCAGATTTCCTTCAACAGTAACCAAAAACCAAACCAAATTATATGTATAAGAAGGCAAAAAAGCACTTATTTCTCTTTTCAGCCACTCAGCCTTCATTCTTTGCCTTCATGCTTGGCTCTCTTGATACATCGTGACCTCCGTTTCCCTCCCAAAGAAAGAAGGGATTTTTTTTGTTGCCTTGCATAGACAAGTCTTTAATTTTTTATTTTAAAAAAACACTCCAGAAGACGAAGAAGAAGAAGGAGGAGAAGAAGAAGAGGAGGAGGAGGAGATTGGATTTATACCCCTTCACTCAGAGTCTCAGAGCGGCTTACAAACTCCTTTCCATTCCCCTCCCCACAAAAGACACCCGGTGAGGTAGGTAGGGCTGAGAGTGCTCTTTCAAGAACTGCTCTGAGAAAACTATGGCTTGCCTGAGTTCATCCAGCAGCTGCAAGTGGAGGAGTGGGGAATCAAACCCGGTTCTCCCAGATTAGAATCCACACACTTAACCACTACACCAAACTGACTCTCAAGATATATCGCTATAAGATGTGCCTGTGCCTTGACATCCAGTCCCCCCCCCCTACAAATTTACTATCTTTCTCTTTCTGTGTGTGGGAATTTTATGTTGTATGGGTTCGAGGAGGTATTTATTATCATTTTAGCTTCTGGAGGAGACTGTCAAAGATTGGCCTGCTGGCCTGTTTCATTGTTCTCAGCCTGATAGAGACATTTTTATGACTAATATTAAGTACTGGCTGCTTGAAAGCAATTGACTAGATGGGTGAGCCACTGACTCCTCTCTAGTTGCCTGCCGGTTGTTGATCAGAAAACTTGCTAAAACCAGTTTGCAGCCCCAAACGTCCAAACATTGGGGTGTATCTTAGAGTGGATGGCATTTCTGCACAGGGACAATATGGCTCTTCTCAAGGATGCTCAGGGAGAAGGAGGGCAGGGCTTTGCCCCTCTTCTAAGGTTGATAATATCAATACGGTGCATGTTCATTTTAAAGAAAGAAACAAAAGGGGGTGGTCAAAACCTGATCAAATTTAGGAACAGGAACAGAAGTGGCAGCTGGAAAACTGCAGAGAGATGGAAACTCCGCTCTCAACACAATTCTGCTGCTATCGGATTGACAGCTAAGAAAACGCAGAACAAGGGTTGTCATGTGGAAAAGCCAGTTTTTACTCAGAATACATAGTATTTTAAGACAATCTACATCCTTAGATAATTGTAGTCTCTGTGTTTACTGTAGACATGTACAACATTTTCAATATTTTTTAATGTAAATAATTTTAGCAACAGCGTGTTTAATGATAATACATTGATGAGTTCAGTGTTTTTGATGCTATTAAGTTTAGCTTAATATCTAGACATGCTGGTAGTCCTATCGATTGTGACTGTATCAATCTTCAACTTTGATATTTTCCTACCTCTCAGATGGCAAAAACTAATGGACAATGTGATAGATGTGCTATGGTAGCATAGGGTGCAGCAGTCTGGAACTGTCATTCAAGTAGTGGGTACATTTGCAATTATTCTTAGATAAAATGTAGACTTCTATACTTTTAAATTTCATAAATATGCCAAATAGTACAGTTATATATGCCAAGTTATAAATGGTGCGTTTTATGTTGTTAAATCAGTAAACAAAGTTTCAGTTTGATAGGAAAATATGTATTACATATATTTCAATCCCCCCCCAATTTTTGGTTACCCCCCCATTGCGGGGAGGGGAACAGGCTTCACAATTTCCAGAAATGTTACACCTGTGGCTTGATGTAATCTTCACAAGGCTGCTGTAAAGAATTAAGTGAACTGATGCACCATGAAATCATCTTCTTCTTTGGGATCACTCCATCTTTTGGCTTAATAGGGTAATCAGCTAACAGATTGATATTTTGAATGTTCTGAAGCATTGATGAACATTTTGATAAAGTGATCTTTGAATTAGGGTTGCCAGCACTAGGTTGGGAAATGCACGGGGATTTGGATTGGAGCCTGGGGAGGGCAGAGTTTGGGGAGGGGAGAAACCTCAGCAGGGTATAATGCCACAAAGCTGACATTTTCTCCAGGGCAACTGATCTCTGTAGTCTGGAGATCAGTTGTAATTCTGGGAGATCTCTAAGCCCCACCTGGAGACTGCACTGAATGGATGAACTAACTACTGGGTATTTGGCTGAGGATCTAAATTTGGGACGCAGTTATTGACAGACGAAAGAATTTGTTCCATTGATTGATGAACGGATTTATGTATATATTTCTTGATAGATTGACTAAGATGAACTAATTCCTGGGTAGATCCACTGAGAGTTTAATTACCTATCACAAATTAATCTCTCATGAAGTAAGTTTTTAACTTACTTAACATCCTGGAGCCTATAGACATGATATATTGACTGATCAACTTTGGGGTGATGAACTTACTTGTCAATTAATGATGCCTTATACAAACCAACTTTTTAATGGTTTGATCTATTATTTAAACTACATTTTGGATTCATTTATTATTTAAGCTTTGGATTGAGGAAGTACATAAGAACATAAGAGACGCCAATGTTGGATCAGGCCAAAGGCCCATCCAGTCCAACACTCTGTATCAAACAGTGGCCAGAAATACCAGGTGCCATCAGGAGGTCCACCAGTGGGGCCAGGACATTAGAAGCCCTCCCACTGTTGACCCCCCCCAAGCACCAAGAAGACCGAGCATCACTTGCCCCAGAGTCCCTATCTATACCTTGTGGCTAATAGCCACTGATGGACCTCTACTCCATATGCTTATCTAATTCGCTTTTGAAGCCGTCCATGCTTGTAGCCACCACCACTTCCTGTGGCAGTGAATTCCATGTGTTAATCACTCTTTGGGTGAAGAAGTACTTCCTTTTATCCATTCTAACCCGATCGTTCAGCAATTTCATGGAGTGCCCACAAGTTCTTGTATTGTGAGAAAGGGAGAAAAGTACCCCTTTCTCTACCTGCTCTTTCCCATGCATAATCTTATAAACCTCAATCCTGTCACCCCTCAGT